AGAAATATAACAATTGAAAAAAAAAGATGAGGAATATTGCGTGTTTATACCACAGAAATTTTCAATCATTGGACCCTAGAATAAATATACTGCTGTATGATATGGAACAGAAGTAGCAATAGAGGAAATCTAAGTAGTTAAAGTTAATATTTATTATCATACTTATTTTCTCTACCATTTGTGAGGATACAAAATATAAGATTTTCCATTTTTTTTCTATTTCTTTTTTAATGTTTTGTGACTTTCATTACAGGGGTCCTTGACTTCCTTGGTTAAATATATTCCAAAGTATTTAATTTTTCTGTGAATGGGATTGATCTTAAAAACTCTTTCTCAGCCATGACATTATCTGTGTATACAAAAGCTATTGATTTTTGTGTGTTAATTTTATATCCTGAAACTTTACCAAACTCTCATGAGTTTCAATAGTCTCTTTGTGGAGTCTTTTGATTTCCTTGTGTGTAGGATCATGCCATTTGCCAACAGGGATAATTAGACTTCCTCCTTTCCAGTTTGTCTCCCTTTGATCCAAACTAGCCTCTAGAATGAGGTTATGTACAATGCTCTGATGGGGGTGGTAGAGAGATGTGTGGGGCAGGGAACTCTGCTGATTTCATGACAGCTCTGCAGTAAAGAAACTGACAGCTTTATATAATAGCATTTGTGAATGTTTACATGTGTGGTTCATTTAATCTAAGAGAACACTTCAGGTTTATAGCTATGATTAATCAAATGTAATAGATCAGAAATTTGAAGTTCAAAAATACCTCATGATCAAGGTCATGTAGATGAATTGGGCTTCCATATTCTGGAAGGTAGCTACTCTGCTATTGTCAGCACATAAGGAATGGACAGATCATTGCAAAAGGACAATTAAGAGGGGAAAAATAACAAAGGCAAACTGCAAAGGCCAGAATACCTCAATATTTCTAGCAGAATCTGAAAAAAGATTATGCTAAAATCTCAATCTGATATTCAAGTAAAACTTGATGCAGAGCTATTTGAATGGTGCATGTAACCTAGAATTAGTCACAATTCCTGGCAGAAGGTCATTAGTTCTCCTCCTCTAAAGTGACAGATATTCTCTTAGAAAAATAAGAACATATATTTATAGCATGTTTATATTTATAAGTTGTTGTAAATGGAGAATTTACAAGCAATATTTTAAACTCCTTTAATGTGCAATAATCATCTCTGAGAATACACACCGTATTTCTTCATATTGTTTTAATTAATACAATTGTGTATTATGTATCGTATTTAATATATGGTTATTAAGCTCCTGCCAAGATGCAAAAGAAGAAAATTAAAGCAGCCAAGGAGGCATAATATATTAAAAGTTTCCCCACTCTAATATGTTTTGAAATAATTTCAGTTGATGCCGTGTCATCCAGGTCATGTGTGAATGACACATGGTGTTATTAATACATTGTTTTACTCTCATGGGTTGAAAAGCAGAGTTGCTACAGGTTTGATGTATTTTTCAAGTAGTTTGAACAAACTGACATCTATGAAAGGATTCACATACACCTCTAAACAACACGTTAGCCTGAAGGAGCATGATGAGTGAGAACTGGGAAAGGTCTTCTCCCTGGATTCTCTTCCCTCACTACCCTTTGTAAATGAAAACAATTTTCGTCAAGGTCCATTTCCTGATGGTTACTCCTGAAGAAAGTGGAACACTTTGTCCAGGTTGCAGAATAGCACCAAAGGTCATAGGATTCTGCCATTAGCAGCATCTAGAAGGATCTTGGCCTCAAAGAATCCAAGGTTGTCAAGTAGGTCTTTGTATGTATTTAAATATTTGCACTTGACTATTTCTTATAAATAGCCTGAAAATCTGAATAGGGTTCAGACATTCCCTGCTTGTGGAAGCATCTTTCCTTGTGGGAAAATACTAAATAAGTGAGAACAGCATCATATGAGTGTCTTCATCATGTTCATGGAAAATGCACATTCTCTTTTCATTCCATTTTCAAACAAACTATTTAACGCACCCTCCTATCTGAAGAAGCAAAGAGACACCTGAATTTTCTTTTAACATTTGCTAAGATAAGGAGAAAAAAGGCAGTATAGAGATTTAGGACAGATATTAGAGAAAGCAGTGCTAGAAAGAAAGCAAAGAAAGCACCATCCCCTACAGAGAGCAGATGCTGTGAATGGCAGACATAGTTGGTGAAGCAGAGAAGCAGAGAAGTATGAATGTGGAAATACCGTACGAAAGTAAAATCAGCTTGAACAATCACAGCACAAGGGACGAGGTTAGAAATTGAACATGAACGTGAAACCAGCACTGAGCTCAAGAAGCTCGATGTTATCTGCTTCCTTAGGAAGCTTCTATCATGCAGCAAAACAGCCTTTATCCCACCAGGAATAGCTACCATCATGATGTGTAAGAGCATAGATTGATTTTTGCCTGCTTTTATACTTTATCCCTCAGTATCACATTTATGAGTTTTACTTATTATATAGTGAAAATAAATGATGATCAGTGATATGTTTAGTGAGTTATCCATGAGATACATGAGTATCAGTAGGGGATTCATTTCAGGATACCCTACAAATTTCAAGAACGCGCAAATGCGTTGGGTATCAATGGATGATGACTTAACTACTTGATTCCTACCACTCAGATGGGAGGCCCAGATACAGTTCCTGGATCCTGGCTTCAGCCTGGCCTTGTGTTGATTGCCATTTGGGGAGTAACCATTGGATAAAAGTTTCTCTCTCTCTCTCTCCCTTTCAAATTAAAAAAATGTAGAAAAACGCAAGTAAATAATAAGTTCATTGTGATCAAAAACGTTTTTTGAAATCCATGAATAGTTTCTTCATAAAATATTTCACTTGAATATTTTGAATATCCCTCATATGTAATTGGAAACACAAGTTTTCAAAATGTTGGGTTGTCCTTTCACCGTCTACTGTTACTTTCAACAGGCAAAGTACATTCTCAAGGAAGAGTTGTAGAGAAATTTGCAGTGGAAATTCTACAGAAATAAGAGAAACACCATGGAACACCGTGGATAAAACAAACATGCAGCAGCAAGTGGGGACACCACTGGACTGGAGGAGATACCAGCTTCTGGTTTGCAAGGGGAGAGTAGACTGTAGCAGCCCTTGTCCTGGGTGATTTTGCCTGAGGGAGAGCCTGTGGTTCACACTGGCTGAGTCCAGCCTGGAGCACTAGAGAGGCCCCGTGTAAGAGCAGCCTATTTTTTTCACCCGATCACACCACGAGGGCGCCCAGCAATCAGCAGGAAAAAAGAGCAATCTTAATGCTAATAGAAGCTATGACAGCTCTCATGCAAGAACTAGGGTGCAAGGACTAGGATGTTTTATCAGATGGATAAATCTAGTTTCCCCACTGAATTTGAGTCTAGCCTGGAGGGTTGACAGGGGCAGGGTACTCACTTAGGACTATGAGGTACTCCTATCACAGGTCTAGAGCTCAAAATGTCAAGGCAGAGCACACATAGGCACCTGGCTTTGGGAAAGCCTCTGCTCTCTCTGTGGATGGTGCAGGCAGGCGGGGCTGAGAATGGATCCCCTGTTCCGTATGACTGTGGGAGTCTTGCACACTATGACTGTGGGAATTCTGTGATTGCACGATAGAGCAAGGTATGCAGCTGGGTTTCTGGGCAATCACTATGTCAGGCCTCAGGTTCAGGGATCCCTGATTGCCTTGGGTAGGTTGTTGTAGAAGATTCTGTGCCCACACTAAAGACCTCATAGGTCTTTTGTGAGATACATATGCCTGCATGTGAGGGAATTGTAGCCACTGTGGGATAATTCTGGACGCTGACCACTTTGGAAGAGAGGAGTTGAGGCTGTGATTATACCAGCAGACATAATCATACACTGCTGACACTGACAATAGTGGAGATCTACCAGACCCAGCCTGGGTGTCACCCTGGACTCTTGCCCCACCCATGAGCACAGAACAGTTTCCTGAACCAAACCAGCCTATATCACTGGGTAATGACTGCAACCTCCACTAAGCCTCAGAGGCATAGTTAAAAGAAAACAGCCATCAGAAGAGAAAACCGAATGTTTCCACAGATAACCAAAAGTAAGTGCAAAGATAAAAGAAACAAGAATAAGGAAGACAATATGACTCCCCAAAGGGAACACAACACTTCAGTATTAGAATATGAAGACAAGAAATTGATGAAATGCCTGAAAAGGAATTCAAAAGAATGATCATAATATTATTCAGAAAAACAGAGACACAAATAAGGATATTCATACATGATAAAAAAGTTTGAAATTTTGTGAAAATTTCAAACTTTTGCTGAAATAGCAATATATTGAAGAGATATCAAACTGAACTATTATAAATTAATAATTCGGTATGTCAAATAGAAAATATAGTGAAAATCCACAAAATAGACTTTGTGAGGCAGAAGAAAGAATATCTGAACTTGAAGACAAATCTTTGAAAATATCACAGTCAGATGAAAAAGAAAAATAAAGAGAGGGGAAAAGGAAAGGGGAAGGGGAGGAGGAGGAGGGGGAATAAGAAGAGACAGAAGAAGAGGAAGGAGGAGGAGTGAGGGGAGGATGGAGAAGAAGAGGAAGTGGAGGAGGAAAAGTAGGAAGAACAGGAGGAGGAAGAGGAAGAAAAGATTAGAAAAATTGACAATGGTGTTCAAGATTTAGGGAATACTATCAAACATTAAATCATATGTGTCTTAGGAGTTCCTGAACAGGGAAAGAGTGAATGGATTAGAAGGCCTATTCAGCAAAATAATAACAGAAAATTCCCCTAATTTGGAGAAAAAATGGACATCCAAGTATCAGAAGCAAATAGAACTCCTAATAGACATGATCAGAAAAGAATTCACCACAACACATTATAGTGAAACTTTCAATAGTGAAATATAAAGAAAAGATTCTTTTTTTAAAAACTTTTATTTAATGAATATAAATTTCCAAAGTACAGCTTATGGATTACAATGGCTTCCCCCCCCCTTAACGCCCCTCCCACCCGCAACCCTCCCCTTTCCCACTCCCTCTCCCCTTCCATTCACATCAAGATTCATTTTTGATTCTCTTTATATACAGAAGATCAGTTTAGCATACATTAAGTAAAGATTTCAACAGTTTGCACCCCCATAGAAACACAAAGTGAAATATACTGTTTGAGTACTCGTTATAGCATTAAATCTCAATGTACAGCACATTAAGGACAGAGATCCTACATGAGGAGTAAGTGCACAGTGACTCCTGTTGTTGACTTTACAAATTGACACTCCTGTTTATGGCATCAGTAATCTCCCTATGCTCCAGTCATGAGTTTCCAAGGCTATGGAAGCCTTTTGAGTTCTCCGACTCTTATCTTGTTTAGACAAGGTCATAGTCAAAGTGGAGGTTCTCTCCTCCCTTCAGAGAAAGGTACCTCCTTCTTTGATGACCTGTTCTAAGAAAAGATTCTAATATGTGCCCGAGACAAAGACCAGATTACCATCAGAAAAATCCTCAATTAGACTAATAGCTGATTTATCATCAGAAACCCTGATGGCTAAGAAAGAATGGAGACATATAGCTTACTTCCTAAATGAAAGAAACTTTCAACTCAGAATACTGTAACCAGAAAAGCTCTCATTTGTAAAAGAAGATGAAATTTTTAAAAACCGTTCAAAACAAATGAAAATGGGAAGAATTTGTTACCACTGGCTTAACCTTACAAATGTTCGTAAGTATGTGCTACACACAGAAACAGAAAATGATAGTCATCATTATGGAAAAATGTGAAGGCAGAAAATCTCCTAGTAAACGTACAAAGGAACTCCAAAGCAAACAATATGTATATTTCTGCAAAAATGTTAGGACTAAGTCATTACTTATCAATAATAAGCTTGAATGCAAATCGCCTAAATTTTAAGATTAAAAGAGACGTACTGGATGAATGGAGTAAAAAACAAGACCTATCTGTTTGCTGCCTATAAGAAACACACCTCAGAAACAAAGATGCACACAGACTGAAAGTGAAATTATGGAAAAAGATATTCCATGCCAATGGAAAGCAAAGATGAGCAGGTGTAGCCATCCTAATATCTGACAAAATACACTTTAACACAAAGCTGTAATAAGAGATGAAGAAGTGAATTATGTAATGATTAAGTTATGAATTCAAAGGGGAGATGTGACTATAGTAAATGTATATGTAAACAATGCCAGGGGTCCTAGCAATTTAAAACAAATATTAATGGATCTAAAGGGAGACATAGACTGAATTCTATCAAACTTTTAAAGAAGTTATTCCAATTCTTATCAAATTATTCAAAGCTATTGAAAGGGAAAGATTCCTACAAAACTCCTTCAATGGGCTATCATTACCTTAATTCAATCAGAAAAAGATACAATCAAGAGAACTATAGACCAATATCCCTGATGAACACACATGCAAAAACACTCAGCAAAATACTACTGATAAAATAAAATAACACATCAGAAAGTTCATTCACCCAGATCAAGTGGAAGTTAACACTGATATGCAGGGATGGCTCAATATAAGCAAATCAGTAAATATGATCCATCACCTTAACAAATTTGAAAATAAAAACCATATGGTTATCTCAATAGATTCAGAGAAATTGTTTGATAAAATATAACATCTTTTCATGAAAAAATAAACTTAAGGAACACAATCAAGGAAATATATGACAAACCCACTGCTAGCATCATATTGAATGGGGAAAAATTGGAAGCATTTCCACTAGGATCTGGAACCAGACAAGAATGCCAACTCTCAACATTTCTATTCAATTTAGTTCTAGAAGTTTTAGGCGGAGCCATTAGGCAAGAAAAATAAATCAAAGGGATACAAATTGGAAAGGAGGAAATCAAAGTATTCCTGTTTGAAGATAACATGATTCCATATGTAGGGGAACCAAAATACTCCACTAGAAAAATATTCCAACTCATACAAGAGTTTTGTAAAGTTTCAAGATATTAAATCAGCACACAAAGATCAATTGCCTTAGTATACACAAAGGATACCATGGCTAAAAAAGAACTTGTAAGATCAGCCCCAATCATAACAGCTACAAAAAAAAAAAAAAATTAAATAGCTTGGGATAAATTTAACCAAGGGCGTGAAAAATCTCTTCAGTGACAATTATGACACATTAAAGATAAAATTTTAAAAGGACAGAAAAAATGGAAAAATCTTCCATGTTCATGGATGGGAAAAATTAATATCATCAAATGTCCATAATACCAGAAGCAGTGCATAGGTTTAATGCAATTCCAATCAAAATATCAATGGCATTCCTTCCACATCTAGACAAAATGATGCTAAAATTCAAATGAAAGCAAAAGAGACCCTAAATAGCTAAAGCAGTTTTAAATAATAAAAAAAAGCTGGAGGCATCACAATACCAGGCTTCAAGATATACTATAGGGAAGTTATAATCAAAACAACTTAGTACTGGCACAAAAATATGCATGTAGAACAATGGAACAGAATAGAACCCTTGGAATTTAATCCATGCATCTACAACAAACGAATTTTTGACAAAGAAGCTGAAATCAATTCCTGAAGAACTGACAATCTTTTCAACAAACATTGCTGGGAAACTGGATCTACACAGGAAGAATTATGAATCAAGAACCCTACCTTGAACCTTATATAAAAATCAATTCAAAATGGATAAATGATCTAAATCTAAGACCTGATAGAATCAAATTGCTAGAGTAAAACATCAGGGAATTCCTGAAATACATTTGCATAAGCAAAGAATTCTTGAAAAAGATCCCAGAAGCACAGTCAATAAAGACAAAAATAGGGAAATGGGATTACATCAAGCTAGGAAGCTTCTCCACAGCAAAGGAAGCACTCAACAAAATGAAGATGCAACCAACAGAATGGGAGAAAATATTTGGAAAATATGCTACTGATAAAGGATTAATATCCAGAATGTATAAACTGTTCAACATATTCAACAACAAAATAAACAATCTAATTAGAAATGGTCAAAGAACATGAACATACCATTTTCAAATGATGAAGTATAAATGGCCAGGGCTGGATAAATGGCTAAGGCAGGCACTGTGGCTCAGCAGCTTAACGCCCTGTTTTGCAGCATGCCAGCTTGAGTACTGGATGCTCCACTTCCAATCCAGCTCTCTGCTATGGCCTGTGAGGGCAGTGGAGGTGGCCGAAGTCCCTGCATCCTTGGGAGACCTGAAGGAAGCTCCTGACTCCTGGCTTCAGATCAGCGCATTGCAGCCATCTGGGGAGTGAACCAGTGAATGGAATACCTCTCTGTCTGTCTGTCTGTCTCTCTCTCTCTTTCTCTCTCTCTCTGCCTCCATCTCTCTGTAACTCTGCCTTTCAAATGAATAAATAAACCTTTTTTAAAAAAATACAAATGGCCCACAGATGCATGAAAACATGTTCAGGATAACTAACCATCAGGAAGTGGAAATCAAAACAATGAGGTTTCACCTCACCCCAGTTATATTGACTATCATCCAAAAATCAAAACATAGTAAATACAAGTCAGTATGTATGAAAAAGTACCCCAGTTTACTGTTGGTGGTTATTCAGACTAGTACAGCCATTGTGGAAGATGGTATGAAAATTCCTCATGAATCTGAAAATAGATCTACCATATGACCCAGCCATCCCACTCCTGGGCATTTACCCAAATGAAAAGAAAACAGCATATGAAAGTTGCTGTACTCCCATGTTCATAGCAACTCAATTCACAATAGCTAATACATGAAATCAAATATCCATCAAATGAAGACTGGATAAAGGAAACACTTTATATATGCATGATGGACTATTACATAGCCATAAGAAAGAATGAAGTCCCATCTTTTGCAATAGAATTGATGCAACTGCAAACAGTCATGCTTAGTGAAATAAGCCAACCTCAAAATTGACAGCTCTTTTTAAAAGAAACCAGTTGGCACTTTAGAAATATTTCCTAGAATTTTCATTTCTGCATTTAAAGGTAACTAAATAGGTATTTTCTGTTCCAAGCCAGTATAGATGATAATTTTGCCACTAATAATTCTGCAACTAATGAGTCTAAAAACAGTGGCCTTCATTTTTTGTTATGAGAGGCTAAGCATTTAGGCTATTCCTTTTTTGTGATTTGGTTGGGTTAGCCAAAACATAAAATGAAAGAAGTTACTATTTTAGATAAAAGCTAAATTGATTTTATTTTCAGGGCCCTGGATTTGAAGTATAGCCAATACCTCTTTTCACAATATTTTGGTCAGAAATACATTCTAGTTGTTTATTATGTACCCTCCTTAATTTTATTTGCTGTGGTCTGATGACATGGGTTTATGTTGTCTCTTTGGCACAGTATTAATACTTTCATCATCATCATTCAAACTGTAGCAAATAAATCAGGAAAAATGAAACAAAGGAAGATGACTACTTTCTGTATCATTTTTCTGACATTTAATTTTCATTATCAGGAATAAACACATTTAAATACATCAGAACATTTTTTACAAGATGAAGAAATGTATCTTCTATGAAGCCATGGTTTGAGCCTTATGTATATTTAGATTTCCTATTGCATCATTCTGTGTGGGTACAGGATAACCATTATATTCGTGTGTTCTATTCAACTCTGCCTCTCTCTGTATCCCTAGGAGTATCTTACACTCATAAGTATGTTATAATAGCTCCCATTAAAAGAACCACGTAGCTGAGAAGTCCCAGAATAAATACATGAAGGACTTTAACAACATTACAAGAGATACATAAAAATTCAATACAGCAAGCTAAAAGAAGTATAAGATAACACATGCTCAACAAATTTTTTGTTTAGTTGAGCGAACAGAATTATAAGAGTGATAAAGGAAGAATGCTAAGTTCCTTTTTTCGTAGATTTCCCAAAGCAATAGGAAGCGCAGCAAACAAAGCCCTTCTAAAAAAAATCCTAGAATATTTATTTTAAGAATTGAAAGCACACAGGAATGCAGAGAGCAGGTTGTAGAAATTGTGAGGCTGCTTGATTTTTGTCTAGATGTTTGCCACTGTATAATTTATCTTTCAGGGAGTTGGCATCCTGATGAATTCTTACTGAAGGAATGAAGTGTTTTGAGATAAGTTCACAGAAACTGAAATATCATTGTCATTCCTAGTCCACAAGAGGTACTTTTTTTAATTCACTCAGGTTCCTGAACAGCCAGAGTATTTTTGAATGATTGTGTCTCTCATTTATGGGTCATGCCTTCTCAGGGGGTATCAGGAGTCTTCCTCCCTTGCCTCAACCCTTCACTTAAAATTGCTAGCTTTTGCACTGACAGATGACATTTTGTATTATACCATGTGTCAGTTGTCTTTATGAATTGCATTTTTAGATAGCAAAAATCAAATCAATCATTTTAGTTTTTGGTGATGTCTGGCAGAAAGGACCATTTATTCCTCAATCAATAGGTTTTGCATTACTGCTCATCTAAAATATTCTCTATCTTCCTGAGTAGTAAGTTATCTGATTTAAAAAGTGATTTCTGTGGATCTAAATTTGCTTATTAATTTCTACCGTAGGGTTGTGGGCCAGTGACTATGACAGGCTTCATGATATTGTTGAAATATTAATCTGAAACTACTTGCTCCAATATTTCACCACGCATGCTTCACTCTATGGTATGTGGCTTTCTGCAGCAGAGCAGCACAGGCTAAACCGAGGAGAAGTGAGTGTGTCTAGGAGAAGTTTGTGAGTAATCTCTCATTTAAAGCCCACTGGCCAATTACATTTTGGAATTACCCAGTTTTACAATTATAAATGACTTTAATATATTTTATTTCCTAAATTTAAGATGTGCAATATGATTTTATAGGGTACATATTTGTATACATATATGTGTAGTAAAATGGTTACTCTAGTGAAAGATGTTAGTATATAGATTTCTCACTTTTGTGTATAAGATTTAAAACTTGAATCAGTTTATATTTACAGTTAAATTTATTTTTGAGCTAAAAGCCACAATTATAATTCTTTTAGGATACCCTTTTTAAATTTGATGATTATCAAGATTCTATATTTCTTTTTTTAAAAAAATAGATTTATTTATTTATCTGAAAGACAGAGTTAGAGAGAGGGAGAGACAGAGATCTTGCATCTGGCAGTTCACTTCTCAAACGGCCACAACAGTCAGAGCTGGGCCTGTCTGAAGCCAGGAGCCAGGAGATTCTTCAGGGTCTCCCAGGTGAGTGCAGGGGCCTAAGGACTTGTTCCATCCTCTGCTGCTTTCCCAGGCACATTAGCAGGGAGCAGGATTAGAAGTGGAAGAGCCAGAACTCAATGCCCTTATGGGATGATGGCACCACAGGCAGCAGCTTTACTTGCTGTGCCACAACACTAGCCCCAGGCTTGTACATTTCTAAAACTCAAAGATTTCTAAGATCCTGCTGGATCTTTCTGTCTGTCTGAAGTATCTATAAGATTCCATCATAATACTTTCAGAGATACTAAATGAAAGCATCATATGGATTTGGTTTTAGTCCTGGTGTTTATAACTTTAAAATGTTTATTTTACAGCATTGATATTCTCATTTTTCTATGTTCTCTATATTTGTTCTCAATTCTGTAAATCAAAGGTACTGTTCTCAGCTCACATCTTTCTTGAAGAACTTTATCAAATTTAGCTTCTAACAACCAACTTGTATTTGTTAATATTCAGCTGAAACTCCCATATATAATGCTAAAATTCCATAAGGTACATTTTTTGCCTTCACAGTTTCAAATGTGTTTATGTTTTTTTCTAGCCTCCTATAAGTTTCCTTGTTTTTGATTCTCCATGCTCAGTGCCAGTACCAACATTTTGATATTTTGCTATTGTAGCACTCATAAAAAGAAATTGAAATGAGTGCTGGTTTCTGTGTCCGTCAGTTATTGTGACAATGCAATTATATAACAAGCAACTCCAAAATTTACAACAGCTATGATTCTTATGGTCATGATACTGTAAATCAACAAGAGGTTAGCACACTTTTCCTGAGGTGTTTGGGGACCACATCTCAAGATCTATAGCTACCTGGAAAATGTTCTTCTGGCAGTGGATAACCAGGTAACAAGAGAGGCCCACACATGCAAACACATTTCAGTACTCTACCTGCATTATGATTACAAATATGCTATTGGTGAAAACAAATCACATGGCAAAATCTGAACTCACAATGGGGAGGAATGTGTAAGCTGCCTACCATGTAAACACAAAAAAAGTGTGGAAGTGTAAGTCTACCTGTGTAGTAACAAATTTGACACTAATTAACCAGCTACAGACTTTAACCCAAATTATGGCAATCAAAATTCTTTCCATGGGAACAGAGGCTAGGAAACCTTCCTTTGTCATTAGGATCTAAATTGCTGAAGCAAACCAGTTCCTGCCATTGATGCTATTTGCACATCTGAAGAACCAATCTGGAGAGAAGAAAGATTGAAGCTGCTTTTGATTTCCTCTGAGAGAAACACTGATATCTGTATCTTGTTATAATTTTTTTAAAAATCTTAAATTAGCTCAGTGATTTAGCATAACTTGAAACCACATATGCTCAGTTAACGGAGAGCTGCAGGAAGTTACTCAGCCAAAAGTCACAACTTGATCCCCATTGATGGCAGCTGACTAGCCCCAGGCAATCCATATTCAGTCTCTGTGGCTCCCTGGTCCCCATGTGAGTGTCTACAGAGGGAGTCCCTAAGTGACTCCACTGTCACTGGGAATCAGGGTCTTCCTAACACTAGCTAGTGAGGACCACCCAAGGGTGATGGCATAATTAAAGGCACCAGGGCTCCATTGCTAGAGAAACAATTCACAGTGTACACTTCATAGGGACAGCATGATTGATTAGTCAAGCATTCATTGACTGCGGTCAATGGACTGTGGTCCACGCCCACACACACAGACTTCACGTTTATTGAGTTTTCTTGTTTTTGTATGTTGGGAAAGAAGGAAGAACAAGCTGCAGAATGAACAGAAAACAAATAGAAGTTACTTTGAGTGTTTAAACAGGCTTTACAAGTAGTAGTGAGTGTCTGTGTACACTGTATATGTGCATGTCCCATGTCCTTCCTGTGATATGTAGATTAGGTAGTCACCCAGTACTAAACCCAGTCACCTCACACAGTATATAAACTAGCCCCTAAAGTTGTTGTGCCTCAATTGATGGTGATAATCTTTTCTCTGGGATTGGGCAGTGTGCACTGCATACTTTCTGAAAATGACAGACATGCACGAACCATGAATCACTGCCAGCTTGAGGGAACTTGCTAGTGAGGCTGCTATGTGCATTTCTATGTTTATGTCGTAGAGAAGTGGGGTTTGTACTTTGGTCTACAGAATTCTGACTGTCAGACTAGATAGCATGTCTTTTATCTTGATATCCAGTTTGCAAATTTTATTTTTTTATTTTTACGTGAAAGGCAGAAAGAGAGAAAGAGAAAGATAAAACTCCTAACCATTGGTTAATTCCCCAAATGCAAGTGATGCCCAAGTTGGGCTGAATCTGTAGTTGGGAGCAGGGAACTCAGTCCAAGTCTCTGAGGTGGGTATCAGGAACCAAGTTATTTGGGCTGGCACTGCTGCCTCTCAGAGTTTGCAATAGTAGGAGTTTGTACTCAGGAACTGAAGCGAGGAATAGAACTCAAGCAGTCTGTGTGTGAGATGAGGCTATCTTAACCATTAGGTCAAATGCATACCTCCAATTTAGAAAATTTTAATCCTACAATGGATATCTCACTATTCACAAAAATTCCTTATTTTAGATCTGAATGTGAGAAGGCCAGTTCTCACATTTGCCCAAGTGGTGAAGGCAGGGAGTTTTGTATAATATCAGCCAAGGCTAATTATATGATAGTTAATTCTTTCTACTTGAATTAAATTGATTGTGTAAATCAAATAACAAAGTAAAAATAACAAAATGTATTTATCAAGGAATGGTATCGTCTACCTGGAACTACAAAGTCACCACTTCATTGTTCTTATGGCTCATTCCTTCTACTGTTGGCAGACTGTCTTGAATTAATGTTTATTGTTGGAAACTCAAGCCTTTTGTTTAGTTCATTCCAGATCAAGTATAGGAATAGTGGTCTTAAAATCATAAATATGTGAGTTTGAATCCAGAAATACAACTTAATAGTCCTGTCATTTTATTCCCTCTAAACCTAACTTTTCCTGTCAATATGGTAATAATGACATCTAGCCATTAGAATTGTTGTAAGGATAATAATAAGATGCTACTAAGGAAAAAATGTTAGCAAAGTATCTAGCTAGTAATGAATACATTTTTGTGGTACTGCTTTATTATCTTTTATTTGATATTTAAGGTGAATAGTGCATGAATTTCCATTTGTGAAAATTAATTTTTTTAAAGATTTATTTTGTTTATTTGAAAGAATTACAGAGAGAGGTAGAGACAGAGAGAGAGGTCTTCCATCTGCTGGTTCACTCCCCAGTTGGCTGCAATGGCTGGACCTGCTTCTTCCGGGTCTCCCATGCAGGTGCAGGAGCCCAAGGACTTGGCCCATCCTCTACTGCTTTCCTAGGCCATAGCAGAGAGCTGGATCAGAAGTGGAGCAGCTGGGACTAGAACCAGCGCCCATATGGGATGCCTGTGCTTCAGGCCAGGGCTTTAACCTGCTGCGCCACAGTGCCAGCCCCAAAAATTAATTTTTATAAATGAAAGTTAGGTTATTACAATTATATTTCATGTTCTACTCATCTTATTTCATTCAAGTGCAAATATTTAATGGAATGGGGCAGTTCATTTTCTTTTTAGTGTTTGAAGATTTTAACCATGTGTTTATAGAAGTTGAAGCTAATATAGATATTTAAATGACTTTCTTTAATACAACTATTTTATTTTATATAGGAAAAAGCAAAGACCAAAACATGGTCTAATGTAGCACATGCAAAATCTTAAACAGAGATTAGGATTAGGATTAGGACTTCAGGTATTTTAGAGTAACCCATACTATACAAATTGAGTTAGCATTTCATTGTTCTCACGCATCGTTCCTTGATGTGTCTTGGGACTTTGAAACTACAAATATTATCTACTGGTCGATGAGAAGCTATGTGAAGAGAAACAATAGTCATTCCAGCTATGTGAAATGTTCTGGTCATCCTAAACAAGAGTTCTTCCACAAACAGCCAAGCCTGAACCCAACAATTAGGACAGAGCAGATGAGTTCAGCTAAATTTATAACCTTTACCAATATAAGGAGCTGTTATTTAAAGTTACTATCTCTGACAAAGTTTGTTTCAAAGGAGAAACTAATGCATATAGAAATGATTCCAGTTTACCATTTGTTCCACTATCCATTCTTAGGCATGCCATAATTCTTTTCTGGGTTGATTTCCTACTATTTCTTGAACAAATATAAATGAAACAAAGATGGGATTTATTTTTCTTTCTTCTTTCTTTGTTTCCATTCCAGATAATGCACTGATGCACCAAATTCTGGTCTTATAAGTATCAGGCAGTAACCAGGATGACTGTAATTTTTTTCAGACATAAGTACAATTAAATAAATCCTTGAGTCAACTAACCTTTAAATTATTATAATTTTGAGAGTTTACCGCAGGTTCCAATATAAAAAATAAAAATAACTTCTTATAACTCACCTTTAATCTACAAGTCAGGAATACCTAGCAGACAACTAACAGCATAACCCAAAAAACAAGCTTAATTAAGGCAAACAATATCAAGAGAATCTGAGCTACCTGCGCTGTTGAGACCTAGTGTTCGTCCAAAAAGAAAAGAAGGAAAATGAAAAAGCAATGCCACCATTGTAGTTTCAAATTTAACATGTTGTGGTAGCCATGACATTCCACCGGAAGCTTGCCTGCAACAGAAAGCTGGATCTGAAAATGTACAGCTGTTCTGTTATGCCTTTTAAATTTATAAGGAAAAGGAAAAAGGATGGAGAAATTTCAATGATTCATGTATAAACAAACAGTGTTGGTGAAGGGTTGTAACTGTTTCAGTAGCATTATTGAGTTAAAAACACAATAATGAGCTGGCGCCGCGGCTCACTTGGCTAATCCTCCGCCTTGCGGCGCCAGTACACCGGGTTCTAGTCCCGGTCGGGGTGCCGGATTCTGTCCCAGTTGCCCCTCTTCCAGGCCAGCTCTCTGCTGTGGCCAGGGAGTGCAGTGGAGGATGGCCCAAGTACTTGGGCCCTGCACCCCATGGGAGACCAGGAGAAGCACCTGGCTCCTTCCTTCGGATCAGCGCGGTGCGCCAGCTGCAGTGCACTGGCTGCAGCGGCCATTGGAGGGTGAACCAACGGCAAAAGAAAGACCTTTTTCTCTCTCTCTTTCTCTCACTGTCCACTCTGCCTGTAAAACAAAACAAAACAAACAAACAAACAAAAAAACACAATAATGATATATCACTGTATCATTATATCAACACTATATCAAGGGCAGATTTCTAGACTAGTACTTGGGAATGATGGTGGGAATTGTATTTATAGCAAGTTACTTAAAACTTAATATTTCTGCAGGTACCAGGTTTCATGCCATGAACTATGTTGGCCAAGAAAGTGGTAGAAGGTGGACCATGGTTTGCTTGACCTTACTGGATTGACAAGGCACACCGTGCTCTAAAGGTAATGATGACCTGAAGTATCACAACCTCCCAGTGGTCATAATTAACAATATGGTATTGTGCACCTTGAAATTCATTAATAGGATTAATCTCAGACTATGGATTATTGCTATAAACAAAACAAAATGAAACAGAGGCTTTGCAAAAAACATTGAGTATGCTTATGACCTTGACTTTAATGATGGTATACCACGTGTTGGCATTCAAACTTATCATATTGTACATATTAAATATGTTTACTACTTTGTACAACAATTATAATTCAGTGAAACTACTTGGAAAAAGAAGCAAACAGTGGGCACAGGATGAATAAGGTGAAAAGAAGCAACTGAGTACTGGGGGAATGAAGGAGGTCTTCATAGACTAAGGTCAAGTCTATCTGTTCTCCTTGGCTCTTTGCTTTTAGTTCCTTCCTCTTTGCACATTTGGCCATGGCATTTCAGCTTGGGGTATTTGTGTATCACCTCCTGCTTACTTTCAGACTCCAACTTGAGACATTTAGAATATTTGCAGCCCCGAGCTCCTATTCTTAGATCTTTCATTACTGTGTGCTCTGAAAGTAGATGATTCAACCTCAGAATGATGATGTTAGATATGCTTGTGTATCCCTGCAGGCCAAGCCCCCTTTGGTGTTCCCTGCACTCCCTCCCACTGCTCCACGTGTTACTGTGCTGTCACCTCAGTAATGCTTCTGGACACTTATTACCCCTCACTTGCATCGTTTATTGATACACGAACCATTAAAATGTCCTTATCCCTTTTACTTATAAATTTCAATCAAGTAGCCTCTGAATTATGTAATTTGTCTATTTTTGAAATATCAGAGAATGTCTTCATCTTTAAAAAAGAGGATTTACTTTATTTATTTAAAAGGTGGATTTACACAGAGAGGGGAGAGAGAGAGAAAAAGAGATTGTTCATCTTCTAATTCAAAACCCAAATGGCTGCAAAGGCTAGGATTAGGCCAGGAGGAATTCCAGATCCCAGAACTCCTTCCAGGTCTCCCACAAGGGTGGCAGGGGCCCAGGTGCTTGTGCTGTCTTCTGCTGCTGTCTCAGGCACATTGACAGGGAGCTGGATTGGAAGTAGAACAGCTGGACTTGACAGGCACTCACAGGGGATGCTGGCTTCGCAGGCAGCCGCTTAACCTGCTACACCATCCCACCCTCCCCTGTCCTTCCTCTTATGATGTACTTGTAAATTTGAATTTAAAAACCACAGCTATCTACCCCTTACATAATATAAAAGTAACATGGAGTCCTTTAAATTTTTGAAGGCATATACTCAAGTTGTTACTTTTCAGTAGTATGGTAAACATGATTTAATAGTGCACTGACTGCTCAAACATGCTTATGGGTCCTTTCTCAGTAGGTTTAGAACTTAAACTACACAGAATATATAAGAAATATAAGTGCCACAGATTTAAATGGGGAGAATATTGAGAAGAAGTGAAATCATTATGTGGGTATGTTCTTAGGGCCTGTTGGGATGTGTGTCTGTCCTTTGGAACATTGCTGTCATGACTTAAGCAGGTTATAAATGATACACATTAGAAAATGCTTTCTTTGCCTGTTTTACACAGGAAGTTGTTAATGATTCTTCTATTTTTGCAAGATGTGTTACATAACCAGTTATTTAATAAACAAAACCATGGACGGTTTTCACCATCCAAGGAGCCCTGAGTGGCACAGGGAGATGTTAATGAACAGCAACAAGGTCTCCCTCCTCATGGAACTTACTGTTAAATTAGGGACACATTTACTTATTTAGTGGTGTAACCATGTGTTCAATCAAAGATTTTATAGAAGAAAATCACCAGGTTTTCTTAAAACTTACAACAAAGTAAATGACCAATGCAGAAGATAACGTTAGTCAGGAAAGGCTTTCCTGAGCATGCGGCAATTAAACAATGTCCCCAAAAGTAAGAAAGAAGTTGAGGCAGGACATAAGAAGTGTCATTTATCATTCAAGGAAACATTAGCACTTGGAGTCCCCTGAAGCATTGGTATGTGCAGCACCTGCCAAGAAAGTCACACCCAACCAATTCACATCCTGCCAGAAAGCAGAGAAGATTCTACAGAGGTAGTGCAAGGGTTCTATCACACAGTGTCTTATGAGTTATACTGATAACGGAGTTTTGTACCAAAAGCCATGTAACCCAATGATTTTAATTTTATGGAGCTCTCGAAACTGCAGCAACACATTTTATAGTACAAAGCAAGGCTAACATTCTAAATAGAACGCACCTACTTTAGCTGGCCTAGATGAAATTATACTGTTAATCTTCTCCTTTTTGGATGCCTTTCCCGAAGATACCCTTAGAATTTTGTCTGTTTCTTTTACTTTATAGTATTCATTCGAAAATTCTGTTCTTGATTAGCCATCCAGTTAGAAGAGAAAAGCAACCTTCCATAGAGCTAGTAACTAGCTTGCTTACTATATAGCATGTTTCCTTCGTCCCTTTCTTTTTTAAATTTTTGAGATAACATATTTTTACTCACATTATAGTCAAATACTTAATGTCTACAAGATAAAGAGTCTAGCAACTAAAAAGTAAAAGGACCACAATTCAGCAGGAGTACAGGCAGGGGTATAAACAATAATCAAATGAAAAGATGTATAATTCACTTATATGTGATAAATTTTAAAATACAGATCATTAAAACTATATAATTATATCATTATATAATTATAATTATTAACCATTGGTTTGAAAAAGATGAAAAAAGTTTGAAAAACTGTATTTGCAGCAAAAATGACACAAATGTAATCTTTGTGTTTTTGTTATAACTTAATTTTTAAAATTTTAACTCCCTGGGAAAGGGGAGGGTTGTGGGTGGGAGGGATGTTATGGGGGGGAAGCCATTGTAATCTATAAGCTGTACTTTGGAAATTTATATTCATTAAATGAAAGTTAAAAAAAATTTTAGCTCCCATGTAAAAGGAAGAACATACGGTATTTGTCTTTCTGTGTCTGGCTTATTTCACTCAGCATCATTTCCTCCAGTTGGAGAAAGGGGAACTCTTTTACACTGTTAGTGTGAATGTACATTAGTGTAGCCACTGTGGAAAACAGTATGGAGATTCCTTTAAAAACTAAGAATCGGGACCAGTTCTGTGGCATAACAGGTAACGCTGCCGCCTGCAGTGCTGGCATCCCATATGGGTGCTGGTTTGAGTCCCAGCTGCTCCACTTCCGATCCAACTCTCTGCTATGGCCTGGGAAAGCAGTAGAAGATGGCTCAAGTCCTTGGGCCCCTGCACCTGCTTTGGAGACCTGAAAGAAGCTCCTGACTCTTGGTTTTGGATTGGCCCAGCTCAAGCCATTGCAGCATCTGGGTAGTGAACCAGCAGTTGGAAGATCTCTCTCTCTCTCTCTCTCTCTCTCTGCCTCTCTGTAACTCTGCCTTTCAAATAAATAACTAAATATTAAAGAAAAAAAAAAAAACTAAGAGTTATCTTCTCAGAGTGAAGTGAGAGGAACTGGCAGCAGCCAGTGCCACGGGTGACAATGTTTGAGGGAGAACGTCTTGGTCCCCACCGGCTTTGAGTCTGTCCTTAGGTGCTACTTGGGGGCAGAGTGCCCACCTAACCCCATGCAAGTATGGCATATTGTCTCCCTCTCCCCCCCTCACCCCTACCAAGGCACCTGCCAACCAGCAGGGAGAAAGCACAATATTAAAATTAGGCAGGGAAAGGCTGCTGTAACCTGCATATGACTGGGGATTTTATTGGGGTGATATCTGTTGGTTTGAGTAAATTCCTGAGTGGGATGGCTGGATCCTATGGTAGGTCTATACTCACATTTCTGAGGCGCCTCCACATTGTCTCCACAGTGGCTGCACCAGTTTGCATTCCCACCAACAGTGGATTAGGGTAGATTTCCCCCCACGTGCTCACCTGTGTTTGCTGTTGGTTGATTTCCATATGAGAGCCATTAAACTGGAGGGAGGTGAAAGCTCAGGGCCCCTGACTATGAGTCTGGCCCGGAGGGTGGGCAGTGGGCGGGGCACCCACTTAGGTCCATGAAGTGACTCACCTCGCCGCACCATATCAAGGTGCTGGACTCAACTTGCTAAGGCGGAGCACTGACTGAACTCCGTCAGGCAGGCAGCTGGCTCCGGGAGTGACATGGCTCTCTCTGTGGGTGGGGAGGCTCCCAGGGCTGAGTGTATCCCCTGCTCCCTGTGCATGTGGAAGCCCTGTGCCCTGTCAGTGGGAATCCTGTGAGTAGGTGACAGGGTGTGGGGTGTAGCTGGGCCTGTAGGAAACCATTGCATCAGGCTCCAGAGGTCAAGCATTCTGAGTGCTTGAGTGGGTCGTGGAGAGGGGTCTGCGCTCACACTGAGGAGTGAATAGATCCTTGTGCAGTTCACGCACCTGAATGCTGGGGTGCATAGGCCCTGTGTGGTCACACTAGGCCTTTGATTCACCTTGGCAGAGAGGGGCAGCATCTGTCAGCATGCCAGCCAACACAATCATGCCCTCCCCACCGATGATGGAGGAGATGTGCCACACCCAGAATGGACGTCCCTCTGGAGTCTTGCCCCGCACTTGAACCCTGGATAGAGCTCCCTGGCCTGACCCAGAACACACCTCGGGACACCACTGAGAGAGCAGCCACTCCATAAATAATAGAGGTATGTTTCAAATAGAAAAGACCTCAGAGGAGAAAACAAACATGTGTTTCCACGGATGCCCAAAAATAAAAGCAGAAATACAAGAAACATGAATAAAGAAGACAACATGACTCCCCAAAATGAACAGAACAACATTTCAATTTTAGAATGTGAAGATGGAGAGATTGATGAAATGCCTGAAAAGGAATTTAAAAAAGGATAAGATTATGCCTGCTATGCTGGCATACCATATGGGCTCCAACTTGAGTCCTGGCTGCTCCACTTCCGATCCAGCTCTCTGCTATGGCCGGGGAAAGCAGTAGAAGATGGCCCAAGTCCTTGCGCCCCTGCACCCATGTGGGAAGACCCAGAGGAGGCTCCT